CCCCTTAGCACCTCTCATGGGGCACCCTACCTCCCTGACCCAGTACCCACCTCAGGAGAACCTGGTATGCTCGAGGACCCGGGGCCTACACAGAGCGCATGGACGGATTGCCGGGGACCGTTATGAGGAAGATGAAGTGTGCAGACACTGAGCAGCAAAACCCACATGTGACACCTCAGAGGCCTTCGCCACATTGTTGAAGTGAGAAGATGGGTGCTGAGCAAGACCGGGTGACTCGCTCAAGGGCACACACCCTCTCTGAATTGTTGTTTGAGGGCATGCATGACTGAGACATGGCTAGGCTAGAAGGTGGTAGTTCTGAGGTGGAGACTTGGGCCACAGGACTCTGAAGCCCGAGTTTCTCCTCAGTGCTGTACACTGCCACCACCCGAACACCTGGCTGAATCCCTCACCCCTTGCACCCTTGTCCCCTCATCTAGCTTCTAGCTCTGAACTTTGACAACTCTACCTTGAGGAAACCTGTTACCAGGTGAACTATAGTGACAGAATCCAGTAATGACGTAACTATTGCCAAGTACATGGTTCTCTTTCTTTCCAGTATTAATTTTAAGTGAGCATAAGCACAGGTCTGCTCAGCCATTATCGTACTGTTCAGGTTCCCTTTGGCTTATTAACATGGGGGCCCCCTTTCTCATCCCACACTGGAGACGATGGATGCTTTGGCCCCAAGCGGATAGTTCACCTGACACACCAAACCCTTTTCCTCCTTCACCCTGCTCCCCCCAGTTACCATTGTCCCATGCTTCCCTGTAAAACAAATACTTCTTTCCACCATATTGACCCCAAATATTTTATCCATTCACTGTCACTGAAAGCCAAGTATTTTTCAGGCTGGCTGCAAACAAAAGCTACTTTGTGAGACTGTGAGGGCAGCAAGCCAGATTACCTTTTACTGGTTGTTTTTTGTTTGTAAAATGTCAGTGTCTTTTGTAAACATGATATGTCAGTGGCATATAATTGCACCAACCTAACAAGTGGTCTGTTGTCGTTTTTATCTGTGTTTGCTTCTAGTTTGGTCCGTCTTTTGTCGCTGTATTTTTAGAGTTGCGGTGTTGTGTAGTTATAATTTTATATTTCGTTTCTTTTGCTTACTTCAGTGGTTTCTCCATGCTATTAACCTGGACTCAAATGTTTTAATTGCTGCTTTATATTCAGGAAATATTTGTTAGTTCATTCAACAAGCATTTATTTAATAACCATTTAAGTATTCTGGGTTTCTCCCAGGTTTTATTATTGTAAATAATGGAATAAGTATCTTTGTGCATCTACCTCTCTCTATCTTTTGGATTATTTTCTTAGGATAGATTCCCCAAATGGGATCATTAGGATGAGCATTTTCATAGCTCTGAAAGCTAGTATTGAGCTGCATGTGAATGTCTCACTGAATCTGTTTTCTCATGATCCCACTCATTCAGAGGATAAAATCCATACAGTTTTGTAATACAGGACCCTTCTATGAACTGTCTGTCTCTCCCCATCATATCTCAACACTCCCCAACCAGCCATCTCCCTCACTTCCACCCAAACAAATTGTAGATGTTAGTGTTTTAAGTGCAGGGTATCTTGATTTGAACATGAAACTCCTGCTATCACAGGTGCTGTATGGCAGCAGAATGCTGGACAAATGGCCAAAGTAGCCGTAATAAATCATTACCCTCTTTGCTCAGTGCTGTGGACTGAATTGTGTCCCCCAAAATTCCTATCTGAAACTCTTACCACCAGCGTGATGGAGGTGGGGCCATTAGGATGTGATTATGTTTTGATGAGCTCATGAGAGTGGGGTCCTTATGATGCGATTAGTGTCCTTATAAAAAGAGTGCAGAGAGCTTACTCTCTCCCTTCCTCTGTCTTTTTCTCTCCCTCCCTCCCTCCTCCTCTCTCCCTCCCTCTGTCTTTCCACACCATGTGAGGACACAGCAAGAAGATGCCATTTGCATGAGCCAGGAAGAAAGCCCTCACCAGGAACTGAATTGGCCAATACCATAATCTTAGACTTCTCAGCCTCCAGAACTTTGAGGAAAAACAACTCTGTGTTTAAGCCACCCGGGTTGTGGTAATTTGTTTTAACAGCCCAACCCGACTGATACACTAAGTATCCATAAATATTAACATTAATAACATTAATAGATAATAAATAGGTCATTTGGATTTTATTATAGCTCTACATCTTAATTTATTGACTTCTCATGGCAGCCCTATAGATAATGCCCATTTTGTAGGAAATAAGGGTCAATGGGGACATTTGGGGAACTCTGAGTGGTTCAAGGTGACTCAAGGGTGAGGGTGCTGTGTAGGGGAAGTCACTGGTTGGAAGGTCCCCAGAGATGGTAGGGACCAGAGCATGAAGGGCTTTCTCAGTCAGATGCAGGAGTTTGACATTTGATCTACATGCTTGGTATTTGGAAGGTTTCTAGAGAGAAGTACCATGATCCGATTACCATGTTAGAGTGTGCTCTCACAGCAGTGTAGGGAGGACCAGCCTGGAAGCAGGGATCCCAGCTGGCAGACCTAGTAAGTACAGGCTTTGAATGAGTGCAGCTTACTCTGGAAGGAGTCACAGTAGCCCAACGGAGCTAACCTGCCACATTTGTTGTTTCCAGAGAGGAGCTCCAAACCATGCCAAAGCCTCTTCTAAGGATTTTAGGTTTTCCAGGCTTCATTTTTTAAAATAAATAAATACATTTATTTGCACACATCTAAAATATTCCTTTTCTTGCTGTCTGTGCACTACATAGTGAGCATTTAGTTTTCTTCTGGTTTTTGGTAATTATGAAAAATACTCCCCTGCGGGGAGCCTGATGCAAGCCTGGATCCCAGGACCCCAGGATCACGACCTGAGCCAAAGGCAGATGCTCAAGTGCTGAGCCACCTAGGCATCCCTCCAGGCTTCATTTGATAAAATAAATCAACATAAAATCGACAGCATACCTTATGCTAAATATAAGATATTAAAAGATTTCCCTTTGAGAGAAGGAGCAAATCTGCACTTGTAGGCAACATTGTACTGAAGGTCCTAGCCAAGGCAATAAGGAAGAAAAAGACATAAAAGCACATAAGTTGGAAGGAGAAAACAATTCTCATTTTTCTCACATGCTATTATGTATAAGTAAAAGTCCTAGAGTCTTAAACTATTACTGAAACAGAGTCTCTATTTTAGCACAAAACCGTTAAAAATAGAATCTTAAAAGATACGACTTATAGTCTGATTTTAAAAGCATCAATTACTTAAGCATAAATCTGTGAAAGATGTGCATGGATTCCAAAAGTAAAAATTTAAAGCTTATTGAGAAATACTGAAGAACATTGGAAGAACTGCTAGGCCATGCATGATCTTGGATTTGAAAAATCAGTATTTTCAACATGTCAGTTCCTCCCAAACTGAGCCATAGGCTCATTGCAATCCCAATCAAAATCTCAGTATGTTTGTTTTGTAGAATTTGACAAACTGCTTTTTGAAGAAAAAAATGTAAGAGGATTTTTTTTTATCAGCTATCAAGACGTTACAGTATTTTAGTGAACATTTATGGCATTTATGCAAAGATGATAAATCAGCCAGTTAAAGAGGACGGAGAACTTAGAAACAGATCTCGCATGTTTGGATTTGTTCGTGGCAGAGGTAATAGTACATAAAGGACACTGTTCTTGGTGGATGGTTTTGGTAAGATCTCCATGTTGAAAAAAACAGATTACACCCCCTTCTCACACTGTATGTAAAAATTATTAAAGAACTAATAAAAAGGTCAAATTCTAAACTTTCAGCAGATACTATAGAAAAAAATATTTTTTTTCAAGATTTTATTTTTACGTAATCTCTACAGCCAACATGGGGCTTGAACTCATAACCCCTGAGACCAAGAGCCGGACACTCCAACTGACTGAACCAGCCAGGCACCCCTAGGAAAATATCTTAATAACTTTGGAGTAGGTATCTTCAAAAGGACAGAAAACAGTAAATGTAAAGGAAAAGTGATAAAGTTACACCAAAAATTTTAAGTCCTGTTCATCAGAAGACAAAAAGAATTAAAATACAAGCCACGGAGTAGAATATATTCATAACATATATGGCATTTTTTAAAAAGAGGGCTAGTATCCAGGATAAAGAATCTAAAAAAATAATTGAGAAAAGGCAGACAACCTGATAGGGGGAAAAATGCACAAAGATGTGAACGTGGACCTCAGAGGGAAAGATACCCAAATGGTCAGTAAACATGAAAAGTGCTCAACCTGCTTGTTAATCAGGGGAATACAGATTAAACTCACAATGAGATGGAACTAATGCCAATGTGATTGGTAAAATTGAAAAGACTAACAATACTAAGTGTTGGCTATGGTGTGAAGATTTAGAAACTTATACAAGAACAAGAACGCACATCAGTACACCTGCTTTGGAAAACAACGTTGCATTATCTAGGAAAGTGGAATATTCCATGTCCCTGGAGATATGCATAATTTTGTGCCTGAGGTAAGTAGAAAAGAATGTCCATAGCAGTGTTTTTCATAATTACCAAAAACCAGAAGAAAACTAAATGCTCACTATATAGTACACAGACAGCAAGAAAAGGAATATTTTTTTTAAAAGGAATACTTTAGATGTGCGCAACAATGTGATGAGTCTTGCAGTGTTGACCAAAAAAAAAGTCACAAAGAATAGTATAATGGAGCTCCATTTTCAAACACTTTAGAAACAAGTAAAATTAGGGATGCATCCACAGACAATAAACCTACAAAGACAAGCTATAATAATAAAGTGGTCACTCTTGGGAGGAGAAAGCAGTTGTTACCCATAAAGAATATTGAGGGAGCTTCTGGGGGGCACTATTTGTCGTCTGTTTCCTGGCCCAGGGCATGATTGAGTGCGTGTTCACTTTACACCCATTTGTTAAACTTGTCTATGTAGTATATTTAAAATTTAAAAATGCTTAATAGGTTTTTTCTAAAAAAACTTTAAATTTTCAAATGCTTTAGAAAAAACTACCCAAAGTCTCTGACCTGGGTGGAGTGGCATCTGGTTGGTAGTGCCTGCCTCATATTAGCCAGGGACAAAGCAACTCCTTGTTTATCCCAGCTTGGCTTTTGGTCTGTGCCTGTGCCTAGTTCATGCCTTGGACATGTGAATTTAAAAGAAAGAGAGAAAGAGAGAAAGAGAGAGACAGAGAGAAGAAAGAAAGAAAAAGAAAGAAAGAAAGAAAGAAAGAGGAAGACAGAAAGAAAGAAAGAAAGAATGGAAGAAAGAAAGAAAAGGAAAGGAAAGAAAAAAAAAAGAAGGAAGAAAAAAGAAAAGAAAAGAAAGACTACCCTAAACTCCAGCTAATTTTAAGATGCAATGAATATTTGATATTGTAATGAAATGGACAGATCTAACTATCCAAACATGCTGTGCACATTTATTATCAGAAATAAGCTTTGATTCCTGTAATTTACATTTCGTTAATTCTGGACTTCATCAAGAGTAAAGCCCAAATGGCTTTCACCCAGCACCAGAGACCAAAGAGGCTTCAGATTAATTTACATCTCCTTTGGGCTACTCAGATCTTACTATAATGACGATGCATTCATCAGAATAAAAATGGAGGTAGGACCCTGAAATCCCAGGACTTCAAAAAAAAAAAAAAAAAAAAGTGAGGAGAAGATTGCCTCAAAATAAGAACAAAGAAAAACAAATGGCCTAGTTTCCATCACTGCTGACCCAAAGGTCATGATTTACCTGCCTTTGTTCTTCACAGTTTCAAGTTCCAGAGTGCGCATTTCACAAGCTTGGTATATTTAGCTGTCTTCTGGAGGCATGTGAGTTATAAATAATAGTGGCTGCGAACATGGTTAGGACCTTGCTGATTTGCCGTTTTGGAAAAGTGTGTCTTTTAGAAAATCTGTTAGGAAGAATATTCATATAAGTCCATTTTTACAGAAGGAAGATTTCAGAAAGGATATTTAAATGTGGTTTCCAAACACTCTAAAGATCTTTAGGAAAGTTAAGAAAGTATATTCCAGGAACAATTCTAATAGCATCAATCCCTCAAAAAAAAAAAAAAACACTAGGCTGTGAATTTAGCAGCCAGTTTGTGACCCTTAGTTCCTAAGAATCAGCATGGTTTTTCTAAGGAAAGATTATTTCTCCTTAATCTCATTTCCATTTTTAAGAGAATGACTAGGTTCCAGATAAAGAAGATGTCACAGACATCCCATATCTCAATTTGCACAAGGCATGGGTGCTAATTCAATTAAGTGAATATGTTTTTAGAAATTGTCAGATTACTGAAACAGTCATGCCAACCTCAGAGACCTCAGTGTTTCAGCCTGTCCCTTAAACACTTGATTAATATCTGGGTGAAGAGGAAGAAAATGTGCTTATCAATGATACAGATGACCCAGAGCTGGAAAAGGCCTTACACATTATGCATTGCAGACCCACACGTAAAAGGATTTAAACGTGTTCTACAATAAGACTGAAACACCATGAAAATCGGTAGGTTAAAATAAGTTTGGGATGCCTGGGTGGCTCAGTGGTTGAGCAAATGCCTTCGGCTCCCGTCGTGGTCTCAGGGTCCGGGGATCCCTGCGTGGAGCCTGCTTCTCCCTCTGCCTGTGTCTCTGCCTCTCTCTCTGTGTCTCTCATGAATAAATAAATAAAATCTTAAAAAAAAAAAAAAGTTCAGCATCACAAGTTTAGGATTGAGAGGATCTTGACATCAGTATAGTTGAAAAAGACTCTAAATCCCCAGCTCACAAGGAAGTGAATTGTGCCAAGGACCAGAATCACCTGGAGCTTTGGGTGGGAGCCCCACCTGCCTGGAACCTTGATTTCAAGCCTGCTGAAAACCCTGAGAGAGGACCTGGTGAACCCATGCCCAGACTTCAGATCTGCAGAAAGTGAGACATAACAAATCCGTGTTAGCCAAAGTCACTTCAGCTTGTGGTCATGTGTTGTGTGGCCACAGAAGACTAACACAGGAGCAAGAAACCCTTTTGGCCTATCCCTGTCAACGTCTCTTGATAACCTGCATTTTCCATCACGTTGCAGTGGAGATCTGAGGTGGGTAGATTCCACCTCGGGACGAGAAGGTTGTTGGAGACGTTGGTCAGAACAGCTTCAGAGGCGATCGGGACGGGAGCCAGAGCGGGTGATTTCAGGGGTAAATGTAATACCAAATAAGAATAGTGGGTCATTCTTTCAAGAAATTTTTTTTTAAGATTTTATTTATTTGTGAGAGAGAAAGAGAGACAGAGAACAAGCAGAGGGAGTGGCAGAGGGAGAAGGAGAAGAAGATGGAGGACTCGATCCCAGGACCCCAGGATCACAACCTGAGCCAAAGGCAGACTGTCAACCCACTGAGCCTCCCAGGCACCTCCAAGAACTTCGTGTATGGGGTGCAGGAGGGAGATGGGGAGAGGAGGAAGGCAGGGAGGGTGTTATGATGTTTAGGGGGTGAGAACTGGGGTTTGAACTCTGATGGGAAGGAGCCAATATAGGTGGAGAGGCTCTGGGTTCAAAACATAAATCATAATATATTCTTCAGTTACACATTTCAAATCTTGAGCACCTACTGTGTGTCCGGCCCTAGACTATGTTGGCTGTCGTAGAGTGGGCAGGGGAGCAGCGGTGAGGACAGAGGTAGTAGTACAACCAGTCGAGTTCCAGCCTATTCCTAGAAATATGCTCAGAATTTCTCTGACAGTCGGCTCCGGTTGATCAAATACCACAGCCCCTCTCATCTGGTGTTATCTGGTGCCCAGCCCAGTCTTCTAGATGCCAGTCTACCGATTGGCTTCCTAGAGCCTGTTGGTTGGCTGTGTGCAGGGGGACGAATAGGTTGTGTGGAGGTGGCTCCCCGGTCCCCCTGAGGGGTAGCGCATGGGTCCTGGCAAAGCTGGGGCCCCCGGCACCCCACGGCCCTGGAGGCCTGAGGCTCAGGCCATGTGAGGGGCCCTTGCGCTCTGTTTCTTCTCTAGGTTGACTTGCCCTGGAAATAACTGGGAACACAACAAACAGGAAAGGTGTGGGTGAGAAGGCAGCTGGGTGTTCTAAACGCCTACTTCAGACGGTCTGAAGTGAAGGTTTGCTTGTTTTGTTTGGTTTCTGAGCTGCTGTACACTAACACTTAACTGTCATTTCTGTCTTAGGATCGGTGACAGGTTGTTCCTGGACCGGCTCTGGTGTAAGGGCCATGCTGTGGTCCACGTCCCCTTACAATGATGCCACTAATCCCAAGTCCTCCTGCGCGCCCGGCTCATAGGGTTGGCCAGGCGTGTTTGCCCTCAGGGGCTCGGAGCTCAGTTCAACATCACTTCTCCCCAGGGGCTCTGTCTCTCAGCTCTGCCTTGGGGGGATTGGGTGCCCACCGTTGAAGCAGGTGCCCAGACCAGGATTTGAGCGCTGGGAGTTTACTGGGAAATAATCCCAGGAAGTGTTGGTAAGGGAGCGGGGAAGAGAAATAAGGAAGAGAAGGAGGCGTTGGGGGAGAAGCCTCTGCAAGTCATCATGGGGGCCACTGGCCTTGTCCCGGGGGAGTTCTGAGAAATAGGCAGGATGCTCCCCACCCAGGGCACAGGGAGCTCTGTGTTAACACACCCCACCGTCACTTGAAGGTTGAGAGACATCCATGCTTCTCCTTCCTCCTGCAGGGCAGAGTGGGCTCCGGAGGGCAGAGGAAGCCCCCAGGCCGGGGAGTGCAGTGGCTCTGTAGGAACAGCTGCACAAGGCCAGGGACAAGCCACACTGGCAGGGAGTCTGCGGCCTCTGCTCTGCCTGCCTCATGTACAGCCCCGCTCGGCCATGTCTGCCTGCGCTCGCTGCCCATCACGGGGCTCTGTCACTGCTCACTTCCTAGACTGTGAGCCCCCCTGAGGGCAGAGGCTCTACCCTCCATACCTCATTGTGGGGTGGAGTCTGGGTACCCAGGATTGAAGGATGCGAGACTCTGACCCTCACGACCCCCCTGGGTGGGATTGCTCTTACCCTTATTTTACGGATCTAGAAACCAAGCTCAGAGAGGTTACATAGCTAACAAGGGGGCAGACTGAGACCTCCCAATTCCAAATCCTGTTTCTTCCCGTCTGATGACACCTGCCTTGCATGTTCTGTACCATTCTTCCCGGGCCTGCTACCTGGACTCCAGGGCGTGCACAAGCACACGGATCCTCACGCCTTGACTCCCAGTCTGTAGAGGCTTGATATTTTGTCTTTTGACCGATACAAGGTGAGGTGACGAAAAGGTGAGAGGAAATCTAATAGATACTTACAGGTTGCAGACCCGCTGGGTCTGTTGGAGGTGGTTCTCCGCAGCTTTTGGTATCTTTCTACCTTTGCTTCTCCCCAGTGACTGAGCACAGAGCTCTGGCTTAAGGCTGCAGAGTGGCCCCCTTTGGCTTAAGAAGCCGCTGCTCTGACCTGCCATTATTAGTGCCAATACTTTCATTGACCTACTCCACTCATTTTCATGACACAATAATCATGGAAAGTACCATGGAACTATGTTTTTAAATTAAATTAAAATTTAATTTAAATTAAAATTTAAATTAAATTAAAAAATAAAAAGTTCCAACAGCAAAACCTTTTCTTCAAACGAAATCTTACAGGAAACCTCAGGATCGAAACCCCAGGGAAGGGCTTCAGGGGAAACGACCACTCTCAGATAATCACTGAATCCCACACGCAGCAAGGGTGGACTCTGCTAAAAGTGAGTTGTCAGAGAAACAGAGCACCAGGGCCACCTGGGCCACCACCTGAAATGTGGGCTCGTGGTCCCCCAAACTTCTGGTGTGTGAAGGTGTCTACTCCTGCACACGGACAGTGGTCACAGGGGTCGGTTTGTAGCTCACGAGGGAAGGACCCGTCATCAGTGCAAAGGATTTGCCAGCAAGGCCACCTGTGGTAGGTTGCTGGAACGTGGTCAGTTTAGATTCTTCTCACCCTGCATCCCTTCTCCCTCTGTCCTACAACATTCCCACTTTAATAACTGGGGTCCCCTGGCCATGCCCTTTGCTGTCACCCCCGCATCCTAATGAACTTCCGTTCTGAGGTCTGAGGTCAGCAGAGCTGTGATCCCTGCTCCTCAGCCTGCTTTCAGGGCTTCCTGAGACCTCAGTTTCCTTCTAGAACGTGTGGCTGGGCCCTAAC